GGGGTAGACGAACCATGAGAGAAGATGGACTCTGAAAAACAAACTGAGGGTTCTAGAGGGGAGGGGGGTGGGAGGATGGGTTAGCCTGGTGATGGCTATTGAGGAGGGCACATTCTGCATGGAGCACTGGGTGTTATGCACAAACAATGAATCATGGAACACTACATCTAAAACTAATGATGGGGATTAACATAAGAATAAAAAAATAAATTAAAAAAAGAAAAGAATATGAGAGTTACCAGCGTTCATGGGGGTGAAAGCCAACACGCAGTATCTTAAGCAATGATTTAGAATTCAAATTTGTCAATATAACACAGAAGTCTATGATTTTAAAGACCACCTAGCCAATCTTCATTTTGTAGCTCAGGTTTGCTGGTTATGGCTTTATAATTACCCTGATAATTATATCTGGTAGCAAATCTGATACTCTGTATTGAAGATTCATAGGACAAATATGTTTCAAGATAAAATTGTATGCATACTACTGGAATAAATACAATGTGATTTATTTATAAAGGAGAACAAATTAACAATGAAAACTATTTCAGAAGTTAAAAAGGTGACACTAATTGTACTGAATACACAACCTTTTATTTTTCTTCAAATTTGGAGTTTTTTAATTATACAAAGATGAGAAGTTTTGTAACCTAAAAATATTTACTTATTAAAACTATATTAATACTTTCACAAACTATACAAAATGATGAGACAAACATGTACATTTATAGAACTGCATGTCAGTCATGCCAGATCCCTGGGGAGGGAATTCCCAGCACGACCTCATTTGTCTGTGAGGACACAGAGCAATCCTTGTTCAGGCATACACATTCAATTCCTTGTCCAGCATGGTCAGTGCTCTACTTCTTGATGGTTTCCCTCAGTTATGAATGTGCATGTCCAGTTGTCTGCTTCCTAGAGCAGACATTTACCTAAAAGAAAGTGTTATAACGATCAGTTACTAGTTATTAATTTGGATCTGCACCAAAAAAATCCAACAATTTTTTTTTAAAACGTTTTTTCAAAAGACACTTTGATAAATTTTTCAAGGGTTAAGATATATTTTTCCAAATAAGATGTCTGAATAATAACAATGTATTGGGTAACTTCTATTTTCCTGAAGAAAACTTCTCTAAGAAGATATTTTCAAAATGTAATCTCTGCAGAGTAATTTCAGATTTTAAGTTACCTTCCTCATCCACCAGCCATTGGAGGAGGACTAGGGCCACGTAGATGATTAATTCGACCCATTCTTCTGGGAGGGTTGCCTGGTGGCCTAATAAAAGAACAATTTAATTTCTACTGTTTAGTAGACATCAAGTGGTTCCTTTCAAACACTCAACAGACCCCTTTCTTTATTTAAAATAGGAACTAACCAATTAGATCAGTAGTTGAGAAAATTCAAATAGTTACAAGGACCAGACACTTAATGCACATGAGAAAAGTGAGTCAAGCAAGAAACTGTGATGACCTAACAGTACTTCCTGTAAATAAACGCCCAACTGAAACCCAGCTCCATGGAAATACAAGTCCAACCCCGTGCTGCTTCATCTTCTCTGGTTTTCCTTAGCAGTGGAAATCCAGATTCTAAAGTGAAATCTCTAGATTTAATGGTGGTCATCAGTTTTCATCCTCTAATTTAGACTTTTCCCATAGGATATTTGATATACATTTTAGCTTTGTCAAATGGACTCTATCAAATCAGACGCAACTTGACTTAATTTACAGTAAAGCATTAGTTTTGTGAAATAGAATTTAAACCTTTTATTTCCATGAGCCTATATCTATCCATCTATAATATTTAACTTAATTAAAATTACGGAGTGGTAAAAATATCTATTATCAATTTAAAAAGCTCTACCCTCTTCCATCATCATATCTGGAATCAGAGGAATTTCCATATCCTCTTCTCTTTTTCACATCTTGCTGAAGCAGAGTCTTGAAACTGAAACAAGGGGCAGAAAACAAAAATACCACTTTCAACATTATAAAATGTATCTCCATAGTTTCAGTTATGTCTGTTAACAGATGACTAAACCAACTTAGTTCCAACCCCACATTTCTCGAAGCCAGCTGGACAACACCATGTAGCACATGTCTACACAGGTGCTATGTGTTCTGGGCCAAAGCCACCATTCCTTGTCTTTCTTACATGCTAATAGGTCTCCTTGACAGAGTCAAGGAGTGACTCTGAAACCGGAGCCATCCCCAACTTCCTTCCTCCACTCAGCTATCAGGCCTCAGAGTCTGTTTTTACAGCATTGCACATTCATTTCCCCCACATTTCCCATGCCAACAGACTACCTAATGCTACTTTGCTGAGGGAGGAGCCTAAGGTGGTGTGCCAGAGGCACAGGGCTTCTGGGAATCCATCTGAATGGAATTTTCTTTACTTGTGGACGGGGAAGAATTTAAGTTAAAACAATATTTAAAAAAAACAATAGGGAGTAGGTGAAATGTGAGACTTTAAGGAAGTTTTGCACTGGGTAACTTAAGGCCCCTCTGTCCCACTGTATCTTTCTACAGAACCATCTCTTCCATTTTCCCCCCCTTCTATTTATGCTACATGCAGTCATCAGATTAATCTTTTTAAATCACAGCGACAATCCAATTAAGTATAAAGATCACAGTCTGCTACTCAAACTTCTCTGACATCTTTCCTGTGTTTCTTCCACCTGGAGTAACTTCCTCTGATGTCCACCTCCCACAATCATGCCCAGCCCAACACCCACTGTAGTATGAATTAAAGTCAATGAAGTAAGGGGCAGTCTTCCACATCTCTGCATCCCTGCAGTTCTCTGCCATGTGACATTCAAATATAAATAAATAAATAAATAAATATATATATACTCAAACTTAGCATGAGTAAGACTTGTTGGTAGTTGAACAATTTTCACAAAACAGCATGGGAAAGACCAAAAAATGCATTTAACTAAGAATTGCTTGAAATTATGGTAAAGTTTAAATTTTTGTCTCCTGTGTTAATTCTAACAATTTAAAAAACAAATTTACTACTTGGGATATTTTTTATCAAGGTCTAACTCCCTTGTTGGTTTATTGTATAATATGGAGTAAAAGCTGCACACACTACTGCTGAAACAGCAGAGAGAAAGTGAGGCACTGTCATTTGGCATTAGAATAGGGAGGCCTGGTCCCACAGACGCGGATTGAAATGGTTACCACCAAGGCTAAGCCACAGTCAAGCTACTTAACTATCATATTCATACTTGTCAGATGTTTGGGGCAGCTTTACCACCACAAAAGTCTTAATTTCACTTAGCAAAAGCTAATAATTAAAATATATACATTATAATTAAAAACTTTCAGAAAGGCTCAGCTTGTTTAAGAACCTCAACATAATGTACCTAATGTACTTCTGTTAACTTAAATATCAGGGCTAGTAAGAGCACTGTTAACACTTACAACAAAACCACAAACTCTGCTATTCCCCAGAAGAAATCTGTTATCAAAGATAATCTCCATGGGGACTGACTCCGGCTGTCCAATACTTGTCCTACAGACAAGAAAAAAGAAACTTCAGTTAGTACTACAAATCCCTGACACAACATGTATTACAATTAGTTGCTTAGGGAACAATAAAACTCAATTTTCAACTTGTTCACTCTTCCAGATGGCCAACACAAGGAAAGGTTTGTTATGTGTTCATCCTTCTAAGGAAGCGTTCAGGGAAGTAAAGCTCTATGATCTAGGGGTCATTCTTTTAACATGTCAAATGTTTTCCTATGTTCCTAATTTTGGTGAGTGACAATTCAGGTATTTTTTTCTCTTTTTAAATTGTGGCAAAATATAAATAAAAAAATTCCCATTTTAACCATTTTTAAGTGTACAGTTCTATGGCATTAAGTACATTCACACTGTTGTACAACCATCACGATCTTCCATCTCCAGAACTTTTTAAATCTTCCCCCAGCTGAAACTCTGTACCCATTTAACACAAACTCCCCTTTTCTCCCTTCCCCTCCTTCTGGCAACCACCCTTTTACTTTGTCTCTATGAATTTGACTGCTCTAGGAACCTCATATGAGGACTCAGACAGTATTCTTACTTTGATGACAGGCTTATGTCTTCAAGTCTCATCCATGTTGTAGATGTGTCAAACTTCCTTCTTTTTAAGGCTGACTAATATTCCATCATATGTATAGGCCACATTTTGTTTATGCCTACATCTGTTGATGGACATTAGGTTGCTTCCACCCACTGGCTATTGTGACAATTCTGCTATGAATGCTGGTGCATGAATCTCTGTTTATTCCAGTATTTTGAGGAAACAAATGGAATGAATGAATATAGAAGAATATTCACACCACTTCCACTTTCCTAAATGTGAAAATATTTCTTTTCACTTGCGAAGTCCCTTTCCTGTATAAAAAAAGTTGTTTATACACACTCTTACAAATCTTTAGTTATGTTAAAATTTCCATAAATCAAAGAGTCTGGGTGTTCTAAGTACTGAAGAGAATTTGCCTTGTTCATTAAAATAACCACTATTTTTCTGTAATTCCACTGTAATGGGATGCTGTTGATTCTAATTATGGATTCCAGGTTTTTTTTTTTTTTTTAAGGTTTATTTATTTGAGAGGGAGAGAGAGAGAAAGAGAGGACATGCACACACTAGCGGGGGAAAGGGCAGAGGAACAGAGGAACAAGCAGACTCCCCACTGAGCAGGGAGCCAGACACTGGGCTCAATCCCAGGACCCTGGGATCATGACCTGAGTTGCGAAATCAAGAGTCGCACATCTAACCAACTGAGCCACCCAGGTGCCCGTATGGACTCCAGTTTTGTCTTAAGCACAAATGAGGATCTATTTTTCAAACCACTTTAAATAATGGAGCTACAACATGAAAAGTTAGTGCTCTAGTTTTAGCCTTGAGAATTAAAAGGTCAGAATATTTTGGGAGAAGAGCTGTCAACCACCTCTCCTCTCCATTTTCTCAAGGGCTTCACCACACTCACCTCCACCCCCTCAGTCAGGGTCTACAATTCCTCTTTCTTTGTCTGCCTTACTTTCAAGGATCCACTTGGACCTGAGCTCTCAATGGAGCTATTGACAAAAAAGAGATACACTTCAAGACAGAGCATGGGTGACGCGCTTGGTTCTGCCTCTTACTAGCTCTGCTTCATTGGCTGATGTGATATTTTCCTGCTCTGAGAAAAAGTTTTGCAAGGCTAGTCATCATTTAGGATTGAAGAAAAAGTCTTGTGACAGTAACATAAATGTTTCCTCACTGTGAAGTGCTGATAAATTCAACCCTTCTAAAGACATTTAACTAGAACACATCAATTCCTTCTTTGTGACTCTAAAGAACCCTTTGTATGCACTTGCATTGTTCTATCTTGCTTTTAGCACTTTTCCCTCCTAGTTTCCAAGGCAGAAACCTCCCCTCCCCTCCCCTCCCAATATCCGCAGAGGGAAATAAGTTGCTTGGATGTAACTGGCATTTCTCAACTATAAAAGTGAGATAAAAGGCCTTAATAGGACCTTTATTTATGTGGATCCACTATTAAGGGACAGGTGAGGCTAGGTAGGGGAGGGATAGGTAGTGGGCTATGGGATCAGGCTCACAAAAATCACAAAAATATGGAGGTGTAAGGAAACCAGAGATAAGGGAACAAACCAGACCACCCTGCCGTAGGTGTCAGAGGTGGGGTCTTGTTATGATAGCTACTTGTGACCAACAAAGAATTACGGACCCTAAAAAGGAAGTAAGCCATTGAAGGTGTTATTACTAGTACTTACTCAATGGTGCTATCAATAGAGATGTTAAAAGGATTTAAGTTCCCTGGTTAGTTTTCTATAAAAGACCAACCCTAAAGGCCCTAACGGCCCTCAGTCCCTGTCAGGACCCCTCTCACTCCTGAGAGCTTTTTCTTATCCTCACTTAATAAAACTCCCATCGCTTTACTCTCTTGTCCTCGAGATTCATTTTTCGACTCGGTGAGACAAGAACCTCACTCTCCCACTTCACTATGACAATGCATACACACGAAGACATACTACAAAGAATTACTCAATAATGCATAAATAGAAGCTGCCAGCCTTTAGCCACAAAGGATATAACACAAAGTCTGCAAGTGCCCCAAATACGATGAAACTTTGATGCTTTTGTGTAGGGTCCATCAACCTACTTGTTTCATTTTTAATTGGGCGAGGAGGAGGGGAGCCATTTTGAAGTGCAGAGAAATGCAAAGTGCACTCAGCCAGAAGACTTCTCACTCACCGCCTTAATCCTCTCTGATGATAAACAGATGACTCAAATAGAACAAGGACCTAGCTCCAGCGATCCTGCTTGTTAAGACTGCACCAAGGCACTGATTTCACCTGAGTCAAACAGGTGGGCAGACAGTTTTGGTATTGGTCTGACCCAGTCATACTGTGTCCTTCCTTTCCAGACACTTTTTTAAATTAAAATTTATTTTGGAGAGAAAGAGAGAGCGAGAGATCAAGCGCAGGGGGTAGGAGCAAAGGGAGCGAGAATTCCAAGCCGACTCCCCGATGAGCGCGGAGCCCCAGGCGGGGCAGATCCCACCACCCCCAGATCATGACCTGAGCCAAACCAAGTGTCCGATGACGCTCAACCGACTGAGCCACCCAGGTGCCACCAGACACTTTCTTTGTAGAGTCACTGTATTAAGTCACTCTCAGATTCTCTACTCTGGGAATAATTACCTTGTTCCTACAGGGGGCGGTGCTTCTTCCTGTGCCCCTTGGAATTAGGGCAAAAAAAATTACGTGTATGACTAGCTACCAACTCCTGGGGGCGGGGGAGGGGGAAGGGAAGCCGACCCTATTTATTTACTTCTCCTCATACATTATAGAGAAAGACCGTCTAGTAGATAACAGCAAGGACGCTGACAACAGTCACCTCTGCTCGAAACCCGACTGAACCATTAACTACCTTAGTGCTGCTAGGCAACCTACTGGACCTAGCTGCGCTTCAGAATCTCCGCCCCTAAAACGGGATAGCAAAACAACTACCTGAATAGGGCTGCTGTAGAGACTGAACAGGTTGATCGCGAAAAAGTTAAAACAGCGCCTCACACACGGGCGCTACGCAGACGGTGTTAACCCTGTTGTCCTAACTAGCTAAGGACGCGGTCGTCCGATAGCAAACACCACGATGGCGACACCCACAGTCAGAAGGTGGGCGAGGGCGCCAGGCAGCCGGCACCGTCGTCACCACCGGGACCTAGGCCCCCGCCTGCGGGCTCAGGGACGCTCGGCTGACGCGGCGCAGGGCCGAGAGACTTCGAGAAAGCCGCGCCGGGTCGGCGGGCGAGGATGGAAGAAACCCGGGTCCGGCTTCCCGGACCAGCGGCCGCCCCCGAAGACCCTACAACTCACCATTCGAGATGTAAACCATCTTCACCCCTTGTTCTCGCCTTCCGGAGCGACTGAGGGGCTTGGCCCCTCTCGGCCTCGGTATCTCCCTCTGCGCCCCGCCCTTGAACGTCACAGCCCACAGTTAGACCAACCGGCGACGGAAGAAGGAGGTGGACAGAACCCATTGGCTGCTGGGAGGGACACGCACACGACTGCCGTTTTTTTTGCGTCGTCACGCTGGCGACTTCCGGTAGAGCGAAGGCTGCCGGGCAGGTGACCGGAAGTGATGTTTGGGATTTAACCCGTAATCGCGCGCCTTTCTGACTCTTGGAGTTGAGCGTTGAAGAGTTCGTGTCCACCGTCCGGTGAAGAGAAATTGTTTTCTAGTTGCTTGATGGGCCCAGGGTCGGGAAGGCGAAACTCTACATGTACAATGGCTTGAAGAAGTGGTGGCAGGAGGAAGTTCCTGAGAATATTCCAGAAGTGTTGATACTTGAGGGTGTGGAGGGCAGTGCCTTCCGGCTGAGGCGGTAACCAAACTCTACGGAGCTTTATTGTCCTGTTTTTGGAATATACAGACAGGCACCCACTAGATGTGTTCATTCTTTATAAAACCAGTGTTTCTGCTCTTGGTTCACCAGAAGCGAATGGAATTGTTAGCTCTTGTGAGGCAACCGTGAAAAATAAATCTGTAGCGCGAAACGGTTCTGTTACTGTTTCTTATTGATGGCCACGTGGCAATCTCCTTCCTGTCTCAAGGCTTTAGTACTTGGCTGTCCTACGCGAAGTGCTAATGGCTGTACCCCGCCCC